TTTTTTTTTTCTTTTTTTTTCTTTTTCGTTTAATCGCCTGAATCAACACTTCACATTAGATATGTTCACAGCAAAGATTCATAGGAATTCTGACATCGATCGCTCAATGTTTGCTCCGAGATTGCGCAAGGGGTTCTATTGGAAAGATATGAAGAAAAAACGTGGAGTCCTCCTCCAGCTCGATCTATTGGAGTATCATCATCTAAATCAACATTCAATCGTTAAATATTCAAGAACAAGAACGAAGAACAAAGTCCATAACAACGGCATTCTAATAATAATGCGGCAACTATCCTGTTGAAAAATTATATCACGGATATTTCGAACGATGCTAATGCGCAACGCTATTACATTTTGTTTACTTCCAATGGATCAAGCGACGCGTTTCAAAGAACGAGCATCGAAAAGCGTGTTTATCCGTGTTTTCGAGTGACTCCTTCGATATCAAACAGTTCCAAGTTCTCGACGTTCCGTGCGAATTACAGATCGAACGAGATCGATGAAGTTGACTTTACAATTTCTCTCCGGTGTTGAATCGAGCAAGCGTTACACGTTACACCATCTCGCGGCTCTTTTGGTCAACGACATACGTAAACACAGATTGAGAAACCGCGATTGTTGCCTAGTCATAAAGCATACCTACAGTTTCCAAATGTGGATGGTAAAAGCATTGAGAAAAATATTTCCACTTAACACCGAGGCCTTCTCGCGGGTAGAAACGTAAAGAAACACTCGACTTTGGAATTGAAGGAAACGAATCTACCGTTCGAATCAACCGAATTTTGGTCTCTCGAGAGGAAATGTAGTTTGGTCCATTGTCGTAGTGTACACAGTTCCCGTGACTCTTGCTCGTTAAACGTTATGCGATTCGTCGTGATCGACATTGCAAAAATCAAGACTCACCAATTAGCTACAAGTCCGATAGTGACTGCTACAAGATGATACGAACTCGTGGTCCAGCAAATAATTCTCTACAACTTGTTAGTTCCACGTTTTTGACCAAAAAACCAAAAAAAAAAAAAAAAAGTAACGAAACGTGTTCGTTTACAATTTTTTCCTAATTCCACGTCCGAATTCCTTTTCCCGAATGAATACAAGGAACGAAATTTCCACAAAGAATGGAACCAGAACGAAACTTCGATCAAACATTTGGGTAAAATGAAAACTTCGATTGGGCCGCGCATTTGATACTTCTGTCTAATATAATAAATTCCTACATCGCGTATCTTTCACCGTTTCTTATATATATATATATATATGTATATATATATATTTATATAATATATATTATATATATTTTAATATATATATAATTTAAATTATATATATATAATTTATATTTATATCTGTCGACACTCGATTAACATGAACGGACGAGAGGCAACTATCGGTTTCAAACAGATATCTCCGCGATATTTAATAACAATTATGACCAATTTCGTTTATAACTCCCAAAAATATGATACCGGCAAAAATGACTGAAATTTGTCACGCTTCCTTCATCTTGCTAATACACACACATATATAT